TACTTCCATTTATAAATATACTTTATAAAAATATACAAAAGTATCGATTGTGCAAAAGTTATCCGAAGAATATTTACACATTTGGCAAATCGAGAGGGTGGAACGGAGACGGGGCTCGGTCGGAATCAATCGAGATTGGATCCTCCGGGTATTACAAGGTACAGTTTTTCTCTCCAACATCGTCGCTGTTTCTTCTTGGGCCCATATTAAGCTTCCTTCTTTTCTTTTCTTGGTAGATCCAAATTAAGCTTCTGATTGAGTTGATTTGGATATTTCTTTGATGGAATTTATTTTCATACAAAAAAAACGCTATGTCCTTGATGCCTAAGGATGCATATGAATCTTGGGTCTAGCCCGCTCAGGAACAATCTAATACACGACCTCCTGTCCACAGAATCCTGGTCCATCTCATAATCACACACCCATAATCTCTCTTCTTTGTTCTGCTTAGCTTCTATTCTCTTGTAGAAAAACAAGGTATATTTCTGACAAATTGTCTTACTCTAAGCGTCTTAAATTTATAGAAACATTGACATATCTTCACTGGGAAAATTAAAGGAATTAGTTCGACTTGAACTAGCTCTAGTTTGTGAAAGTGTAGTTGATGCTTAAGTTTATATATTTCCCCTCTAAGATCAGTTAGTTCTCTCTCTTATAATATGTATAATTTAAAAACATTATGTATAATTTCGTTTAATGAATTTGTAAGTAAGAAACACATGTATCGCACAACGATGATGATCTCTGATTAACAAAATCTAAGAGAGTAATCGCGAAGAAAAGATATTCATATCCACTGACAAGTTGAGTAAAGAAATTCGAGTACTAGTCTTTTCCAACGACCATCTCATGTCTCTCTAACTTTTGACGTATATTTGGATCATTACTTTGATCTCAAATCTAGTCGATGAGATGGAGACGTGTTTCTTAAAGATCATCATGACAAGTCTTGAAATCTTTAGTAGCATTGAAGTCCGTCTCTACTAAAATCTCTAGCAAAGGAAACTAGATTCTAAAACAAAGAAGAAAGAGAACTAATTGACATAGTAGAAGAACTTAATTAATCACAAGTACATAACCGATGAATCAAAACACTTCCACAAACCAAAACAAAAAAAACGGTATATGCCAAAACTGCACTAAAAAGCAAGAGTTTTGAGCAGAAATCAACCACTGAGACACATCTAAAAAGCTGAAAGATCTGAACACGGCTCTATAAACAAACTCAATCAGCAACGGAAAAGGATTCATGGGACACCACACCGAAAGCAACCCAACCAAGGAAACTAGTCAATTCT